TATTATTATTATTATATTATTATTATTATATTATTATTATTATATTATTATTATTATTATTATTATTATTATTATTATTATTATTATTATTATTATTATTATTATTATTATTATTATTATTATTATTATTATTATTATATTATTATTATTATTATTATTATTATTATTATTATTATTATTATTATTATTATTATTATTATTATTATTAATTATTAATTTTTATCTTTCACTTTCAGCGGAAATGAAGTAGGGAAAAAATGATAATTTCTATTTCATCCTTATTTAAATTCATACTTTTTCATTCTATTTTTAAGTTTGTGAAAAGAAAAATAGTTGAGAATTGCAGGAAGAAATAAATATACTTGTCATGTTGCATAACTTTTAAAGTAATTATTTAAAAAAAAGTATTGCTATAATTACTTTGTCATTATCATATAACTGTTATTTTCCACGAATGATAATCAATTAATTGCAAATTGATTTCATTGAATATTGATTCAAAGCTATCATATGGTGGTAAATTAACGGAGCTTGAAATGCTAAACTATTATCATTTACATTTTAATATTTTAAAAAGTTTTTTTTCTTATTTTGCTCGTTCTCTTTTTTTTTCTTGTCTTAAATACCTTTCAACAAGAGCGGATGGTAGAAGAAAGATTCAGCATAGCAGCTGACATTAAAGGAAAAAACAAATAAATAAATAAATAAATAGAGAAAAGACGAAAAAATGATATGAAATTTTATAGCAAATAAGAGTTAACAGAATAAATTTTAAATTTGATATATTTTAATAATTTCAACAAAAAAAAAAAAAAAATTAAAATGAAATGAAATAAAATATGGCATCATGCATAAATTTACGTTTTTATTTTATGGATGAAATTTTTATTGCAATGTTTAAAATTTAGCAATTATTATTTTTCTTTTTTCTAATCTATGCGATTGTTATTATTAAGAAAATCAGAAATATTGTTATGATCAGAATTGTTAACAGTATTAATATGATAAATAAGGTTGTATAACAATAGCAGTAGTAATAGCAATAACAGTAATAGCACTAATAATGATAATACTGATGTTAGTATTGATATTAGTAGTAGTAGTAGTAATGGTGATACGGTATTAGCACTGTACAACTGTTACGATACAATAAAAGATGCAAACCTTTAGTTTCTCTAACATATCTTATAGATGATGTAGTTAAATTAGCTTCTGCTCCACTTGCTTGTTCATCAGTAGGCGATGACATGATTTTGAAGAATAAGAAGAAGAAGAAGAAGCGGACAACAAAATGTGAGCAAAACAATGTTGATCAAACTCTTTAAATATCAACTGGAACATATTTCCTTCACTTTATCTCTATTCCATTTTTAACAAATCAATAGTTAAACGAGCAAAGAGAGAGAAAAAAAAACTTTTCAAATCTAAATCATTCCTTCCTAATTCTCTACATTTCTTTAAAATTCTTGAAAAAAAAATAAAACAAAGCAAAACAAAACAAAATGGCATCTGAAAATTCGATATAATGAATAATTGGTTGAAAAATGAAAATTGCAGCTATATACGATAAATTCCAATAAAATTATATTTGCAAGTGTAAATTTGTTTTACAATTTTGCAACAAAATGAAAATGTTAATGTTCGGAGAAAACGATTATTATTATTGATTGAGTTGTATACTTTCTTATTTTCCTAATTTGTTTCTTCTTCAATTCGAAATTACGAATGTTTGATTTGAATCGTTACCTTGGAGATTTTGAAATCATTCCCTCCCTCTCCGTCTCCCCCACCTCAATCTTTTTGATTTTATTGATATTACTTATCCTTATTTTACCATGAAATTACGTAAATTATTAATATTATTATTATTATTATCATCACCATTGTCATCATCACCATCATCTTCATCATCATCATCACCACCACCACCACCATTACCACCACTATTACCATCATCATCATCATCATATTGTCATAATCATTGTCATTATCATCACCATCTATCTATCTATCTATTATTATCTTCATCATCATTATCATCATTGCTATTTTTTTTACTGTCATTATCATCATCATCAACATCAAAGGCTACGGTATCATTGTACATGAATGTGGTAGCTATGCACACTTCCATTATTTGTAATTTTTCAGATTAAGTCCTCCATTTCCTTTTGCCAATTATATATATCATTATGGGTTTACTTTAAATATTCGACTTTTTCTAATGAAATTTGAACATTCACACGCTGTCAAAATATATTTTGTTTTGCTTAATTTTACTCCATCATTATCACCAAACTTATTACTACTATTATTATCATCACCATTATTATCATCATCATCATCATCACTATTTATCACTATCAGTAATTGCCCACTTCTCCATGTTTCGCCATTTGTACTTATGATACATTCTTCAAAGCATTTTACATTCTCTTGTTACATTCTTTCAGCTAAATCTGACTCATTGTCAGTTTCATTCCGTTCATCCCATTGCTAATTATGCTACTAATAATATCTATCATTGTTTTTTTTCCTTTCCTTTACAACTTTTCTTTGCTATTGACTTGAGACATTCTGAATCATCCAATTGAAAACAATTGTAAAGCTTGCATTTGCTTAACCCTTCTGTTAATTTCAGAATGTAATTAATTAAAGTCATAACATTTTTTAAATATGAATTAGTCCTAAACTATCGTTATTCAAGTCAACCATTGATTCATTTTTATTCAGAAATTAATCAGTTAAAAAAAAAAAACAAAAAAAAAAGAAAGATGCAAGAAAAGGGGAATGACAAATTTGGTTAGAAAGCAATTATGAAATTTCTTTTTATTTTCTTTTTGTCAAAAAAGAAAAGATCTGCCAAATAACATTTTGAAATTATTTATAATTTCTATGTCTTTTTGAATATTTTTATTTATTGTACATTTTGATTTTTTCAAATTTGAGAAAAAATTCAGAATCGGTTTTCTAGAATTTCAAAAATTAAATTAAATTGAATTAATTCTCTAAGAAGGCAAATAACGTAATTCCACTACATATATATATATATATATATATATATATATATATATATATATTATATATTATAT